TATATATATATATAGGTGTGTGTGTGTAAAAGATTTTTGTTGAAGAGTGTGAGATCAATGTTTTCAATCGATTATGTCTGATTTCCAAGATGTGGCTCTCTCAAATCATTGAACCAGTTCTAGCTGCAGTTTCGTTATCGTGAATGTCTGTGAGTCATGACCTGAGTTTCATAAATAATTGAATAAGAAACTGCTTTTCAAAATTTTGAATGCCATGTATACAATTTCATTCATATGTATAACATTTGAATATTGTAGAGATTTATAACTGTGAAAATAGTAATGGCATCTTTGTCTGACGATGGCCATAACACGACACACACAGATAGGCCTACCAATATGTTTTATTGAATATTTTAGAAATTTACTTTCTTCATAATTTCTTGTCAGTTTTTTTTAGTGTTTGAGCACTTAATCAGCTGCTCGCATTGTATGCTACCTGGGAAACCGAGGAAGCCGAGATATTTCCAAGTATTGTAGGGTCCACTGGGGTAATACTGTAGGTTACACTTACAGAGTGCATAAAGCTTGCTGTTGAACAGTTATATATGCAATACAAATGCCCTTAATTATCATTACGCACTACACATAGATATACTCCAATTTGTGGATTTTTTTGTGCTCGGTAATAGACTGTGTCAATTAAGTATTTAAAAATTGTCACTCTTCCCTCTCTGCAATTTTATTTTACATTTTTAAAGCATTAAAGAGTGTTTGTTAAATACAGGTTTGAATTGACGTATGAAACAACTTTCTAGTGTTGTGTATTATAATCTAATTGAAACTTTTGTCGAAGTAAGCAGTTATAATTTGACTTATTTATCCTTCTCTTGAAACAAAACTTCCCTAAAATACGCAGTACCCTTCAAGAAACTAGAAGAAATTTTTTTTAAAGTCTCAATCCCTTGGTATATAACAGCGGCAGCTATATTGAAATTATATAATGCTTAGCAAATTCCAAAAAAACTTTGAAAACTGAAACGTGTTTTTAATTCTTTTCTTTATATACATGAAAAAAAATAGACTGAGTTTTACAGGTACTTCGCTAGTTAGTTTGAACATGCTTTCAGTATTCTGGAATTTCTAAGGCTTTTAAAGTAAGAAGCCTTTTTAAGTTCAACTTTTGAAAGTGAAATCAATTTCCACAGTTAACTTCTCAAATATTAAGATTTTTTCTAGAAAAATGAAGGGCCAAGTACATGTTATTATGTAATCTGCACTTACATGTGGATTTTCTGCATAGTATCTTGATTAGCAGCTGGGATCTCAGGATTCTAGTGATGAAGCGTCTTCAAAAAGTTTTGGAGAAAAATGCAAATGAAAATATCATTGTGCTATTTAATTGTTAGTTTTACCTTTCATTTGAGACAAATGTTTTGTAGTAGCTTTTTACTTTAAAAATGGACCAAAGCAACACATTCAGCAATGTTCACAAGGATTAAAAGGGTGCTTTTCAGAAAAGCTATAATATTATCAAATATTCTTTAAAATCGCTTGTGGTCAAATGTTGTATACACAATTGAGGTTCTAAAATGATGTGCAGTTGAGTTCAGAGCTTGAAAAGAGCTTTAATTAGATGAAGAGAATTGCCATGTAAGTTGATTTTATGATTTGTTTTAATATTGTTTTTAGTGACGACACCATATTATTTATACAGCATTTCCCGTTTCTTTGCCAAATTTGTCTCATAAGCTGTGAAAACGTTAGGTTACTTTACATGTGCCCAAAGCACTGTCAGAATGGATTTCTAACATATCTCAATGCGTTGTGCTTGAATTTAGGTTCAATTTGATATAAATAAATAAATATATATATATATATATATATATAAACAGGGCCTGTTCGCCAGGCAAGCGGATGTGTTGCATCTGAATCTGCTTGTTTGTGTATTCATTGAATCTTGGTGTATTTTGTTGATTTTTTTATGAACTTGTTCTCATGACAACCGGTCATTTTTTTCACCCTTTAGTTGTTGTTTTTTCCTAATAGTGAATTTGAGCTCAGAGGCACAATTCAGCACCTTACAAAATATATTATCTCAAACCTTTGAAAAAAGAATCAAGCATGATCTCAGTATATTATGTGTCTAATAATTTGAGAATTTTTATTAAAATACAACGGTATTTCTTGTACATGTATTTACTTGACCTAAAAAAATGGACCTAGGACCAGTTATGCACCATTCTTGACGTATTTTGAGTAATTTATTTTTTGAAATTTTCATTTGGCATAACTTTTAACTGGATGTCGTATAAATAATAATATATAGATGTGGTTTTTTGCCTGTAAAATGTGTACATTGAGTAAGGTATTATTATCAAACTAAAATGATTAAACTGACTGAAAAACGTAAAATTAGTGTGAAAATTAATGGTTCCATGACAAAATTCTCGCTCTAAAATTACGCGACCCGACACCGTCGATTCATGCGTTCCGTCCGCCATTTGAAATGTTGTTGTGGAGCTCAGGGGATCTCAGAAAACGGTCGAAAAAGCAGTTAAAATGGAATCAGAACACTCTGACATTCATCTAAATGATAGTTACGGTGAATATTTTAACGAATAGGCCCCCAATGAGAAGTAATCCGACAAGAACGAAGAAAATAAAGCTCCTCTTTGTGCGAAGAGCGAGACCGGAAATTGGTACGTTTTTTTTGTTTTGTATTTTTCAAGAACGCTATCTATCAGTGTGTAGATCTAATACGGGGTGCCCACTACGGACGGAATCGGCCGATCGAGGGTGATCGCCCGACTCGATCGCCTGAAACTGAAAACAAACACGTTTGTTTTTGAGGCGATTGAGTCGGGCGATCGGGCTGATCGGCCGATCCCATCCGTTGTGGGCACCCCGTTTAACAAGTTCACCAACGTAAAGACACTGATGTACGCATATATCTATATATGTGAGGCAGCGAGGTGGAATCAGGCTCTCGTCAAATTTTGGGCATGTAGAGTTATTGGTATCATCTTAAAGCTTGTTCACTTGTCTATATTTGGAAGGAAAAAAATCCTTTTATCTTGAATACAGGTCGAGATATTTTCGAAAGGAGGAGGTGGGGGTCACCTGTTTTCTGAGGTAAAATTAGTGAGAAAATGGCCGCCAAAGATTAGCTATTTCCTTAGCTTAAGACTCCGTGGTCACTGAAATTGTACTTTTTAGTGCCTTTAATCAAAGCTTTTCAGAAAAATCCACACAGAAATGAGTTCTTTAATGGGTACAAAAGGTGTTGAGCCAAAAAACAAAAATTTGATAAAATTTCACAAACCTGCTGAAAAATGCAAGTTTGTTCACTTTGATTATTTTGACGAGAGCCTGATTCCACCACGCTGCCTCACATATGTTGTGGAATCTGAGCTTTCCTGATGCCGAAAAGAGAGCTTCCAGGTCTCGAAACGATACAAAGAGAAAGCTTACACGCAGGAAAAATCCACGTGGAAAACCAGGCTTTAAAATTGATATTTCTGTCAATATGCTCACAGGAAATGTGTGGATACACTGGTAACGATTCCTAAACGTTGTTGGCACCCCCCCCCCCCCCCAACCAACACATACACACACACACACACACACACACACACACACACACACACACACACATACACACACACATACACATCCCCACCCTTACCTCAATGGCGAACTCAATGGCGAACTCAATGGCGAAGTGCTTAGCTGCAACAGCACAGACGCAAATTGTGTGTGTGGGGGGGGGGGGAAGGGGGCATACGTTACAACTTCGAAAAGACGTATTTGTGAGGCAGAGTGGTGGAATCAGGCTCTCGTCAATTTTTGGGCATATTGAATTAATGGTATCATCTTAAAGCTTGTTCATTTGTCTTGCTTTCAATGAAAAAATTACTCATCCGTCTTCAATAGAAGTGGAGATGTGAGATGGGGGTCACCTGATTTAAGAGGTAAAATTAGCGAGAAAATGGTCGCCAAAGTTTGGTAAATTCCAAAGCTGGAGAGTCCATGGAAACTGTAAATTTATATTTTTGTGTCTTTAATCAACGTTTTCTGTGAAATCGTCAAAGGGATTTGTTTGTAAATGGAAATAAAAGGTGTTGAGCCAAAAAAAAAATCGAAAAAATTGCTAAGCAGGGAGAAAACTACTGTTTTCTTCGAATTCATTATTTTGACGAGAGCCTGATTCCTCCACGCTGCCTCACATTTGTGTCCACTGAGGTGTCAGATCCGTGTAGTCATGAAAGCAAAGAAAAGGAAGAACAAAATGGTGTCTCACCTGCATTCTGGCAGCTCCCACTCGAACTTGCCGGTAAGCATGGGAAACATGACAGCCGTGGTCCCGTCCCCGACAATGTTGTGTGCCTCCAGCTCAATAGCTCCTAGCTCGTCGTGAAAATACTTCCTCGTGTTGGGCAGCCGTCGCAACCAGGACATCCGAGACATCGAATCAAAGCCCAGTATGGCTATGCTCAAACCTTCGAACCCAGACTTCAGCGGGTCACGTGGTCTTTCAGTCCTCTGTTTGGAGTAAGACACCCCCGCGTGGATATTTTCGTACTGCTCACGCGTCCCCCTTTTGCACACGGCGCGGAAAAAATCGGATGTCATGGGAAATCCATCTTTGATGTCCACGTGTGGGAGTCCCCACTTGTATTCATAGTCGCCGACTCTGACCAGAGGATAGTAGTCGCACGTGAAGTTGTTCTTTTTCCCATGTAAGGGTTTGGAAAAGCGCACAGTGCCATTATCTACGTAAATCCAGTCTTTTTGGCCCGAACACGTCAGCGGGGGGTACTTACGGAAAAACTTCATCATCACCGGGTCGTTCACTTTTAGTTGTGGATGAATACATTCCTGTCTGGGAAGGACTCCTCCCTGCTGCTCCAAACTTGGATTGTCTCTGAACGCTGCTTGGGTCGTCGGAGACAGGCGGTCACTTCTCAAGGAAACATCAGCCATTTTGATGTGCCGGTGACGAGCGAAGAACATCAAAAACGCCACAGTCCACAGACAAAACAGGCCGAAGATGACCTTTATCGAACAGAAGTTCCACTTCTTTTGTTCAAACATTGTGGGATGGCAGCGGTTACCTAAACTTACTTAGATTACTTGAAGCATCACATAGCAAAAAATTTTTTTTTTTAAATACAGCAATAACATTAACTACCAGCAACTGAAATGTATGGCTATACCGGCACAAAACCACAACGTTTCAGTTGGCCTTTAGACATCAGTTAAAGACTACTACAAAGCGAGTAACATGTTCGTCCAATGAGGCATAAGGGGGTGCCGTTGGTCATCAAAAAATTTCTGTTCATGTGTTTTGAGTCGGTCCCTGGGTGGCAATCTGAAATACAGAAAAAGTCACTGTTTATTATTCAAAGCAGAAATGAAGAAAAGAATCAAAGATATGGGGGTAAATTTCACAATTACAATCCATCCCATTCCGTGTGTTTAGAAAAAAGAACAAACCAAAATAAACATTTTTTAAAAATGAAGAAAAAAAAAGAAACAACAATCAAATGAACAAAAACAAAATTGTTGTTATGTACGAATAGCGAAAATGTATTTCAACATTTCCACTCACTGCCTTATGAAAACTCACAGCCGGTTAAAACTAAAGCGAAAAATGTACTAGAAATAAAACATGAATGACCTACAGCTTCGTTTCTATGCAACCACTCTAAATCTGTACGTGTTTTTTTTGGTGTTTTTTTGGAAAAGTTTTTTTTACGGCGCTCGCAACTGCATAAGGTCATCATATGAGCGCACGGGACACACCTAATATTTTCAGTTGGTAGGAAATTTTGAATTTTGCCAGGGTGGTGGCCGAAGCCTACTCTTATCGATTTTAGACCACCAAGGGATCTTTAACGTGCGTAACTTGCACACGAGCCCTCCGAGATTTTTCGCCCTTGTCCGAGAAAGCTAGGTGTAGATCTTTCCGACCAGAAGATCAGAGGTGTGGCTGAAAGACAAAGAAAAAGCCAAGGAGGAGCAGTAGAAAGGCTGCAGAAAGAATCAGGAGCCCAGAGGAAGGGGCAAAGGAGGTGAGGTGGTGGGGGCAGAAAAAGGAGATGAAAGCAGACGACAGAACATTGCTAGAGAGCAGGACTTTTTTTTAAACAAAAATTTTAGACGTTGAGCGTTACACGATCTTACCTGGACAGGAAGCGTGAGGTAGAGGAGAAAGAATACTATGGGATGGTGCTATGGAGGGATGAGGAAGAGGTTAGGGAGGGGAGTCGGAGAGTTAAAAATGGAACGTTCAAATGTTTCCAAATAAATAATTGGAGATGTTTTATGATCTAATCGATGTAGAGTAATTTAGAACATGTACGAGTTGGGTTGCTTCGACCCTGTCTGTCTGGGCCAATCTGGGATGAGACTGAGAGGCGAGAGGGATACACCGTCCCAGCAAACACGCAGAGAAACTCCATATAAAAACACCCAATCATAAATCTATCTGCTTTATCTGCCCCCCTTGTATTTTATCTTTGTTACTCTCTAGTAACACCTCTAATCTTCAGTACCTATAATTATAATATATGACCTTACTGTGTCGCAAGTGTCGTAACATTCTTACTAAAACTAAACACGAGGATTGGACTCATGTCTTTTGCTTGCTATGGCGAAGCACTTAACGGCCGTTCCACAGACGCCAGTTCAAGCGTTTCTGACTCTGCATCTATAAAATCACAAGTAGATATCTATATCTAGATTTAATAGTTTTCTATAAACAGGGTGATTACTTCCGTGGCCCCTTTCACCAAATTCACAACGAACTTCAGCACAACAACAATACTTTTTAAAAATAAAATAGAATCTAGATCTACACTATTCACTATTTGGATGAGAACGGTCTATGAGGCAATATGAAACAATTCTTACACGTGTATTTAAAACAGATATATTATTTTTTTCTTCTAAGATATCATTGGTCGAAACCTATAATAATTCATGTATGCAAATGAATGCATTTACCAGCGCTTGTCAACAAGTAGGCTAGTGTTGCTCACTTTCGCAAACCCTTGCTAGTATCTATGTATCCGTCCGTTCAAGATAAAAGAGCACCGCTTTCAATAATGGTGCTCTAATGTTCCCATCCAGTATTCTTACTGCTGGAAGATCTATCGATGACAATATGACTTTGAGGTGATATCATAGACGTGAAGGCAGACCCAAGACTGAAGAATACCAAGACGGGACGATATTCCTCATTTCCGGTCTAACTGGCTCCCATTGGAAACAGCGATGAGCGCTAACAAAGCGTAAACAAACGATAGGCCTTGGAAGAAAGCGCGACGATCAACTCGCGTAATGCATAGTGCTATGATATTTTACTGTTGGTGGCAATTTTGCGCTCTCTCTCTCTCTCTCTCTCTCTCTCTCTCTCTCTCTCTCTCTCTCTCTCTCTCTCTCTCTCTCTCTCTATCTCTCTCTCTCTCTTTCTCTCTCTCTCGCTCTGTCTCTCGCTCTCTCTCTCACGTTCTCTCTCTCTCGCTCGCTCTCTCTCTCTCTCTCTCTCTCTCTCTCTCTCTCTCTCTCTCTCTCTCTCTCTCTCTCCCTCTCCCCCTTTCTCGACCTCTCATACTCAAAACAGTAAGTGAAAGTCAACAAACAATCAGACAACCAGACAGCCAGACAGTCACGGAAACCAGACAGCCGGCACCCCCCCCCCCAACCCCCCGTCCCCCGTAATCCATATTTTTAGTCCAATGCGCCATGGCTAGATCTAGTTCACGGTAACCATTATTTTCACACAACGCACAGTTTTTCAGAACCAGAAACAGCTCACTTCAATTTATGCTTATCATTGGGTAAAAATCCTGTCAATTTATGTTATACATTACGTATCTGTGGCCAAATATTTTTCTACTGCTTAAACGAAAACAGTATCAAACGTTTAAAGGCCTTCACAGTTTCTTAGATACGAAGTTGGTGACCAGAACAGAAGTTTGGTTCTACATTTATTCTTCGACAATACCAGATAGGTCAGAGTTATTAAATTTGCCGCCAATGACCGTCTGGAGGAGACAAGGTGGCCCACACGCATAGGTCGTGGGCAACAATAAAACAGCGACCTTACATAGTGTCCCGCCAGTAGCTTTACGGAAAGCAAAGTGAAAGTAACAAATCTACGATATTGCAAATGTACACAAAACCGCCAAAAGTTGGCATTTTCTTTAAATCCATCTGCCATCTACTATTGGTGTAGGTTGAAGGAATTGGACGTCTTTTTGGGAGAGTTTTCGGCAGATCTGTCACCTGCACACAGTCAAGGCACCAGACTTCTTGCTTGATAAGCAGCTGTACGGCGTCTTTAATAACAGGTAGACCCAGTACGATTTTCTCAAAGACCCGTAGATTGTTTCTGATCAACAATGGTCAGTGTTATGGTTTTCCTTGATCATGTCAACAAGTTCGTCTCTTTTTTAAGACGCCACATGTGAAAAGTGGTAAACTATTGGTTCGGTGTGCAACTTGAACATTTAATTGAAAGAGTTCGCGAGGAACATGGGAAAAGAGGGTTTATACCATACTTGGAGTTGTTTCACCACTGCACTTCCGGTAAAATGAATCCTTATTATTTTACATGTGAATATAGGCCTAAGCTGATATTTCACACGTGAAATATAAGCAATATTTGCATAAATCACCCCGCGCACTATATTCGCCTTCTACTTCTATCCCTCTGTAAGCAAAATAGATCTATAGACTTGAATCATAATGTTCCTGGACTGTGCAATGTTCTGGCAGCCGATCTTCGCCCTGATTAAAAACTCACCATGGGCACCCAAATAAAGTGCAAATACCAGTCTCCCAGTCTCCCAGTCTCCCAGTCTCCCAATCCGCTAGCCTATGGTCGAGAGAACGTGTAAACCTTTTTCTACGTTTCCCTGAGTTTTGTTCCAAATTGAGTCAAACGGTGGGCACCACAATGGACCGGGATTACGAGTGTAGTGCTGTTACGTTCAGATCTTTTTATCGAAAAAAACCATCATCTATTCTTAAGCCTAATATTTTTCCAGACTGTGAGATCATCACAAATCAGTATTGTATTCCCTCAAACACGATGATCTTTCGTTATTTCAATAAAACACCGAGCGTTGTCTCGGTCGGCGTCGCACAAGCCTTCGCGGCGAGCGAGTCGGCTCAATACTGTAGTATGCTAAGTGCTCCCATTAGTTTCGCAAAAGGATTCATGCAAGATAATTCCGAGCCGATGACTTTATTCCAATTGAAAAAGAACTGTTCTTTCTATTGGTACCTTTTTTGGCTGGTATTTTACACATTTCGTGTTAAAAATGATCTTTGAACACTTATGACTCTTTTTTTCACGGTTTTCTGTCTAAATGTCAAAGGCAAAAAATAATAACCGTGGGAAACCACACTCAAAGCTGTACAGTTCTTCACCAATGAACTGACGATATTTAATCATCAATCTTTCTGCAAAGCATTCGAATGCATGGGTGTAAATTTTGAATCGGGGGACCTCGCATTCTGACAGCGAGGGGCTTCCCTTTCCACGGCGATTCTCCAGCTCAAAATACCCGGATATACAAACTACTTACACTATTATAATGAAGAAAATCTGAACTTTTTCAAAGTGTTCAGCATTAAAATTTGGTGTTTTATAGCAAAAGGAAACCACGCGCTCGGAAAGCCGCGAGTCGGCTTACGTGCCGTGTATACGTTACCTGATTATACGTTTGCAATAGCACCATAAACACACGAGAGCACACATTCACACACGCACACACGCACACACACACATACACGCGCGCGCACACACATACACATACATACACACACACACACACACACACACACACACACAAATACACATACACACACTCACACACACACATGTACATAGACCGCCTCGGTGGCCTCTTCGTAAGGAGTCCGCTCTGAGAGATCTGCAGGAGGGTCAATTAATCTTTTAAAAGCTCTAAAACAAAATAAAAATTGATTTTTAAAGTCAATCCAAGTGTAAAACTAAAAGATCAACAGACGATAACAGCTAGCAGGGCACGCCCACACAGTCAACTGTTTACGTAAACAAGCTTGCAGTGAGCTTAAAGTTACCGTTTTTACTCCGTTTTACCAATTAGAGTTGTTTACATTTCCGACCATTCATGCTCGAAAAGAGGTCAAAATCTAAAAATAATTGCGAATGAAGAACGTTGGAGCAAAGATTTTCTACAAATGGAGAATCTGTGGTTGAAGCAAAGGTGGCCATGAGGTAATGGTTCTAAAAATAATCTCACAGCTACACACTAGCAAGGTCCAAATTCCTTTATCTCGTCACCCAAGCTCACAAAAAACCACACACACCTCCAA